ATCAAGTATACGCCGAAATCGACAATTTATCACTTGCTTGTATGTTATCATGTGATGGTAATCGAAAAAAAAAATGAAAACTTATTTCAATACAGAGCCGAACTGGTCATATAAGAAATTTACTCAATTCAATAAGAGTCATTTGATTATTTAAAATTTCCCAAGCAGTCAAAATGACTGCTTTTGGACAATATAGGTATAACACACACACACACACACACACACATATATATATATATATACCAGAAATCAAAGAATGGGAGGTAACTACAATTATTAATAAACGCATTTATATATTGTACAAAAAGTCATAAAATTCTAAGAAATTGTATCACTATATACATAATTGTTTTTCTAACTGAAATTAAGAAGCAGTCAAAATGACTTCCTTGGGCAATCTAGTTTTAAAATTGAAAGATGAAGTTCTTTTTCTAACCGAAAAACATCTAATTTTGCAAATTTATTCCATAATAAGTTGCGGCTACAAAAACTATGTTATTTGAGTGCCATATTTGAAAAACTAAATGAACTAAATTTGTTGCTTCAAGGAAAAGTTGCAACATATTCATATTTAAATCAAAAATTGATGCTTTTATTAAGAAAATTACCATATGGAAAACTACAGTGGCTTATTTGGTTTTATGAGATTACGGCAAAGTCTCGAGGTCTATCTGGCTAAGTGGAGGGATGCCTTCGTGGAGAACTTAATAGAAACTTCTTTCGCCAATAAAGCAGTTTTTGGAATCCGGAAACGAAAGTTATAAAGAATTAGACGATAATAATTGGTTATCCGATCTGTATTTTCTCACGGATATAACAGCTAAACTGAACAAACTGAACGAAGATCTCCAGGGAATAGAAGAAAAACCCTTTTTCAGTTGACTGGGACTGTAACTGCTTTTAAATTTGTGGATAAATCAGATGAAAGAAAAGAAATTCACAGATTTTCAAAATTTATCAAACCATATTAATAACCACAAGCCAGAGAAATACTCGGAAGCAGAGAAAATAACGGAAATACTCGGAAAACCTAAATGCACTGAAAAATAATTTTGAACTCTGCTTCTCTGATTTCCGTAAAGTTCAACCAATATTATTATTCATCTCAAATTTTATTTGCCGAAATTAATATTTCAGATGTATCACATAAAATTGGAAATGTTTAACAAAAATGTTGATGTTTTGGAAATGTGTTCGCGATAGGCCAAAGGTTGAGCACCACTACTATAAAAGGCTGTATTCAGACGTGGGCATAAAGGGCATAAGTGGTTAAAGCCGAGCTGCGTTGCCAAGGCAACCAGTCTGTGCTACGTCACATAATCTGGTTTAAGGCTCGTTCCAAGTTTTCAACTTTACGCCGAGTTGGGATAAGCGTCGACCAATCAGAGCGAAGCTAAAACGAAGCGGCTTTCTTTAGACGATTTCGCTGTCACATCGAAGGCGACATTTTTTTTAATATGGAGCACATCGTATCCGAATGAGTCGTAATCGTATCCGAACGAAATAATGAGTTGATCTCGGAAGAAATCTACGATGATGACATGCATTTTTTAATGAGTTTTCACAATAAATTGAAAAATATGGATGAAACTCGTAAAACGAAAGTTAAGCTCAGAATCATGTATGCTATGTATGATCCTGTAGATGATTGATCCTTTCCATCATTTTTCATTTTATTACGAAAATTCTTTAAAAAATGCATGCTTGCAAAAATTTTATTTTTTCTGTGTAAATTATTATTATTACTTTCTTTATGTTTATTATTTTCGTATAAATTATTGCTATCATTTTCTTCCTGTTTAATTATTTTTTTATTTAAGAATAAATGTTTTTGAAAAAGCTTGAAATATTGTATTGCTATTTGCTTCAAATGCTGATTTTCTTTCCAAACAAACTTCATGAATTAATTTTACTAAAACATCTAACCAATATCAAGAATCTGTTTAATTTTTACAAGTAAAAATATTACTTTAAAAAAAAAAAAAGAACAAATTATTTTCATTTATTTAAGAATAGTCACAATAGTCAATTCAATGGTGTAAGCTTTGTATAAGTAATAAAAGATTACCGTATTTGACGGCATATAAGACACACTGGCATATAAGACGCACCCTTATTTAGAAGGCCACACACATGTAGATGTAGAAAAAGTTATGCGTGTCTAGACCTATATCCGGGCTAAAAATAGCATTCAGTATTTAAAGTTAACCTGTGTCCTTCACGTATAAGACGCAAGTAAGTTTTCTGAGACCAAATTTAGGAAAAAAAGTGCGTCTTATATGCCGTCAAATACGGTAATCTTTTGAGAAAATGCTCCTATGAATTCCAAGAAGGCAAACATGTAGTGAAATATCCTTAAAAACAGCAGTCAACAGTCTAGACAGTTTTGTCTCCTGTTGATGTTCTGTTTTGTTTTTTTAATTACGTTTCCCATGAAAGGAATTTACTTTTAATGAAACTGAATAGAACACATAATTCATAACATGGACTATAATTTAATGAATAGTATTTGTTATTATTATCCACTCTTTATTACTATCATTTGAAGGGAATTTTGATAATTAAATTCATGCTGTTTCTCTGGTAGAAATTCCTGGATAAGGTATGAATGTTTATAATTGTGTTGTATTTGAAGACTGTATAAGCATCCCGGCTTGTTGATGAAGATTACATTCTTCATAAGGGCCTTCATAACTTCTTCATAACTGGCCTTCATAAGGGCGGAGGCGTTCTTGTAACCAACTTGCAAAACGCTGTTGGTACCTTTATGTGAGGTAGTCACTCCGGTCACACCAGCTCCATCCTCCGTTGTTTCATATCGTTCCAGTAGTGTAATTAATCTCTTAAAGGATTGTTTCACAAACAACTTTATGATAAATTACATTGCCCTGAGATAAGGATATAACTGAGTCCAGGTATAATAATTATTATTCAGACATGTTCCGCCATTTGCACTACAGGCGATGTTCCAGGTATGTGTGAAAAATCATTTTCTATTTAAAAAAAAAAAATTCTATAGGAAGTACAGTTTTTAATATGTATAATGCTTGGAAATATAACACGAATACATATTGAAATTGAGATGTTTTTTAAGTAGAAGTTTACTGAAATTATTTAATCTATACAAGGGCAGAATTCTTGAGTTCGGAAGAGAGGCTTTGAAAGCCATTGTTGACAATTTACTCGATTGCTTTTCCCTACGATTGAATTACTTAATAGGCTTTAGCTTTGCTGGCCGTAATTGCTTCGCAAAAGACTGAGGGCTAATCGAAATCTTAGTATGTGCGTGTTAGTTTGCATTTAATATTTTAATATGACTGGACTGGTCTTGCTATTATTTAAAATGGAAAAACTCTCTTGGAACTCGAAAGATTTGGAGCTCGAACTCTGTTTTAGAACTGATGAAGTTTGGATTCCAAAATATCACTGTATTATTGTTCTCTAATTCCTAATCTGACCAAGAAAATCAAATATTTATTGAGAAGACCAAAAATTTGAGATTTCAAATTAAAATATTTCATGCTCTGCAGAAATCTATGAAGAATCAAATTTCATATTCTTACTTTTAAGAATAAAATCTTTTCTTTTTAATAGAAAGCAGTAACTAAATCATTTTTGAACCATTAATTATATGCTGTTCAAGCGCCGTATTAATGTGGTTTATATGCTGTTTTAAGAACAGAATTAATTTGGTTTATATGCTCAGCTCCAGTTTAAATGATTCATTTTTATACTATTTGTACTGACTCCCCCCCCATTTCCTGGCTATTTAGTCGGTTAATGTGCAACAGATAAAAGCGTAAAGGGCGCTCATGCCACCCAAATATATTATTAACGCTGACTTATTGTTTTCTTTTCCTAATGTAACTCTTAAGTCAGAACAAGCGCCATGTTTCATTAATACTGTTTGACGCATACTACTGTTTGACTACTGTGGTCTGAGAGTACCAAGATAGCTAAACAATCCTTAATTGCTCTTGATAATGGAATTTAAAAGCGTACGCTCTTCGTACTATTCCTCCCTCACTGAGAATTTCCTCTCAATTTATAAGCATTTTATTGAAAACTTTTTCTCCTTTCCGTTTAATAAATCGATACATTTTACAAATTACCCCAATTGATACAGAAATTTCAAATAAAGAAAGAAACTTATTTTACTAATTATTTGTATTTTGTCGCCCATTTAAGTATGATGGTAGGGATTTGAAAAGCAGATGTGTTATACATTTTCATTACTATAAATTAAATCTAGATCGCATTTTGTCTAACAGGTATAGTAAAATAACCTAAAATAAATTGAAAAAATTTCATAAAAAATAAATGTTCTGAAACTTTAATTTGATGGGAATATTAAAAAAAAAAAAAAAAAAAAAAATCGACATTATTACATTTGGTTCTGAAATTAGCATCTGTCTTTGGAGAGAAATCTGTTTTTGCTCACTGTTTATAAGTACCTAGTTAAAGGTTAATAGGTTCCAAAATTAATGGTAGAGGTAAAAGACATTAGTTTAAATTTAAATTTACATGGTAAGAGGAAAAGATAAGTGGTATAAACATTAATAATGTTTTCATTATAAATTATTGAACAACTTATAAGAATGAAAAATTTGATTAAATCTATGCTAATCTATTACTAATTTATATATGTTGATCATTCAGTTAGTAATGCGGTAACTGCTTTCTAATTCCAATTTCTTTATAATTCTTTATAAAACATTAGGAATACTAAGAGCACATGATTTTGGGAAATTTTAAATAATGTACCTTATAAAAATAAAATAATACGAAGCATAAATGGTCCAACTAGCTTTCAGTAATATGTTTTTCCATTATTTTCAATAAAAGCTGTGAACAGAAATCAAAAATAGAGTTTGCTACAGTAGATAATTCTCAGATATGACGATGGACTAAATGAGAGGCTTGAAAATTTTATCAGTCACGAAACAAGCAGCTATTGCCCACATAGGTAGTCTAACTTCATACAAATGACTAATATTTACCTGCGTCTGTTGAACTGTAGGCATTTGTCACTACGAACAAAACGATACCCGTAAAAAGTACAGCTGTCATTATCGGAGTACTGTAACAGCAGCCTGCTCCTGGAGGAAGCTAAAAAGGAAATTAAACAAATTAAAAAAGAATTAATGTAAGGCACTCAAATAAATTTCATGTAATTTAAGAAACTGACCTCTTCGGTAAAATAAATATGAAAATCTGAAGAATAACTAATAAAATGTTCTATTGATTAAAAAATGTATTACTTAAGAAAATAATGTATTTATAATAAGTAAAGCTGTAAAGTACATAGCAGTACTTAACATTATTCAGAAATAATGACTGGATTACGGCAAAACACACAGGGTTTTGTCTGGGGAGAAATAGCATTCGCGAAACACTTTCTAAGGAAAACTCGCTCTCATTCATCCAGTCTGTATATGCCAGGATTTGAAGGATTATATGCGATTAAGATTTCCATTTAAGTGGACAGCTTAAGACATTATTTGTACACATATACTTAGTAGTGAAATGTTATTAAAAAAAAAAAAAAAAAAAAAAAAAAAACAATTATTTTTCATTTTGCAGTTTAACTTGTTTTCACATTGTTTTTTTAATGCAATTTTATTTTACAGTATTTTTTTATACTTTCATTTTACCTTTTTTTCAATTTTTTTTTTTTTTTTCATATTTTGACTTTACTATTTTACCTATTTTCCTTTTCCAACATCCTTATTATTTTATTGATGTCAGACTTCTAATGTAAATTTATGTTCAACACAGTTTTTAAATTTTGCACTTTATGTAATTTCCCCCCCCCCTTTTTTTAAAATAACATTTTACTAATATTAGTTTTGTTAAACCTATTTTTCCTTTTTCACGAGTGTTATTTCAAACTTTTAACTCTCTGAATTCTTTCCTTTGAAAATAAAGTAATTTGATGTCCTCTTAGAAAAGACAACACAGGGAAGCTACTTTGCACATAGATTCTTCGGTGTCTTAATAATAAATGCTTGCAAACAGAAATTATAATTTTTGACTTCAATGACTTTCTACTTCTTTAATGACTTTCGCTTAATCGCTTAATTACTTACATTTTCGTTAATGACTAATGCCTATTTAATTAGATATGATAAATTGTATTACTATTATATAATTATGTGATTATTATTATATGAATATTAATAATTTAATGCCTAATGATTACTTAATTACTCTTTCTTTAATGACTTTTTACTTTTTTACTGAGACTTTCACAGATGATTTGCAGTGGCGTTTCAGATGTTTCTTATACAAGAGTATATTAGGAAATTAAATTCATCTAATGTCTATTCGTATAATATAACCAAAAAAGCAAGTCCAGATTAAGAGCTTTACATGCATTAAGCACATAAAAGTTTTATATTGCCTCTACATACATTAAAAATTATAATATCTATTATCCGATTTTGGTTATCCAAACATTCCAGTTTCAATGCCAAACTGCAGATCAGGGTAATTAGATGAATTATGATATGCTTTAGGCAGGTAAGGGAACTTTGTACCTTTTGAACAATTTTTCTTTTATTTAACAATTTTAATCTGTTTTTTACGAATATTATTAAATTTTTTTGATAGACAAATTGAATATAAGCTAATTTTTTCTGGTAATTTTTTTTAATTTAAATTACTGAAGAAAAATTTTAAGAATTAAAATACGTTTCTTCTTCAATTTTAAATGTAATTTTCCCAATTTTTTAATGTATCTATTAGAATACTCTTTATACCTTTCAGATTGATTTTACAATTACTAAAACAGTTCCCCAGGGTACAAAATAAATAAAAAGTGTATTTATATATGCAAAAACTTTAAAAAACCAGGATTTCAATTACACTTTCATTTCCAATAGTTTTTTCTTTCAATATTTTGCGAAATCCATCCTTATTTCGATTATCTGTTTAATAATTAAACATGCAGTAAAATATTAAACATACTAACCCATATCTGCGTCAGATTAAATACTTTGATTAAAAAGATTTATCGAAAAAAAATGCAAACTGGCAAACGCAGTTTAAAGAATATAAATCTTAAAATGGTTAATAAAATTTAAAAGTTATTTTATATAGTGAAATTCAGTGAAAATAACTTTTAAATTTTATTAATATATATGAGAATATATATATATATGAGAAAAAGAAAGGGATGTACCATTCAAAAGTCATTTTATGTACGCAAGATTAACAGTAAAGCTCATGGTGCAGGGATGTCCAAAGCCCACGCTGTGGTATCGAACTGAAAATGAGTCTAATATGGGGTATGGTTCGCTCTCACAGCCAGCCAGGTCGCGCAGAATGACGGCATACTAGATAGGAGGCAACTAAGGAATCCCTATGGCAGTCGATCCCACTCCTGCTCTAAGATCTCCTCTCTATATTTTATAGCAGTTAGGAAGCCTTTGATAAATCCATGAAGAGATGTGTGGTAGTTCAACTTAATGCCTGCCCAAACGTAATGCCAAAACACTTCCACCGCCGTTAGTGATACTGCTCTCTGATGAGGAAGGGATAATCTGAAGGTTCCGGGATCTCTGTAGATATAAGTACACCGAGAATTACTCTCCAGGCTGAATCTCGGTTCATGTGTAAAAAGCACAGTGCTCCACTAAAGTCTGCTCGAAAGCACATGTTGTCTGCTGCATGCTGAACGCGCTCTTGTGCGTTGCAGTGAGCGGGACGCAAATAGGGGGGTCTTCTGGCATCTAGCCCTATCTCATGAAGCCTTCGGGGAACTCTAGACTGTGAAACTCCAGCAGCAATATACAGCTGGCGTGAGAGCTGTGAAGCAGTAGTAGACTTACGTCGCCGTGCTGAAATTGCCAATTAAAGATCCTCATTCATTATTATGGATCGTGGTCAACCTCGGCCAAGTCTTCTCGGTATAAAGCCAGTGCCCTAAAACTTTTCTACAAACTGCAGGAGAAGCTGAGCGTTACACTGAAATTTGTAGCTACATGCGCTTGTTATTGGTCTGCCTCCAGTTTACCAACAGTTCTCCATCTCATTCCATCATCCATACGTTCGTGACTGCTCATTTCACCTGATGCCTTATAAAATTTAACTAACTCTTGCGAGAAACACAACGAATGTCGTAAAGGAGTAAGAGCACACAAATCGCCGAAAATTCCTCGTGCGCTTATATCCTCTAAACAAATTACAGTTCCGTAAACACGGACGTGTACGCCTATGTATTCGACTTTGAATATTTGCATAATTAGTACCTTTGATTAAATCTTTTCGTAAAAGCAGACATAATTTGCTGATTCTCTTTAGTGTATTATTAACAAGCTCGTGATACTAAATTTCAATTAAAATTGCAACGTAGTTATTTGATTTTAGTTTATAGTGAAAGACTGAGACAAAGCCGTGCTTGAGTTAAAAAGGAAAAAGAAAATGACAATGACGTGCTGCTTTAGAGCTTCATTAGTCTGTAAATCTTACATTAGTATTAAAACGTAAACTACTGAAATGTTTAAGAAAAGAATACCGTTACCTTCCACTAGACATTATGCTAAATCCTCAAATCTAAATTTTACGATGAAGAATATCCGCCCAAGAACATTCTAAAAAGTGACAAATTTTCTAAATAAATATTACAATTAAATTTTTATAACTCGTTCACCAAACTAAAACTATTTTAAGAACCTGCTGTACCGAATTGGTGAGAATTAGCTGAATCCCATCACTCATCCCACGAATGGCTCATATGCAAATCCTTTTTTTTTTTTTTTTCCCGGAATCTAAAATCTTAAACTTATCTTAGTGATGCAGTATATTTTCTTCACTCAACAGATACACCAAAAAGTCACAAAAATAAAGGACACTAACCCAAGAAAAACTCATCGAAGCGAGGTAAAAGGTCCGAAAGCCGTGTTTCCGGTAATCCATCATGTGCATTACTCATGCCCTGCAGGTAGAACAGATAAACAATATTACGGCCAGATGACGACAGGTCATAAACACAGCAGAAGAAATGCTGAAAAATTTATAGTGAAGTTTCTTATCTTCGGAATAACAACTAATGTCAACATGGCATTTGAATAAATGTGTCAACCAATGACAGATGTAAACATGCATGAGACTACATTTGAGGTGATAAACTGAATATTTAAATGAATATTATGAGTAACTAGATGCATATAGGAAACACTATTTTGAGGAAGGGTATCTACTATTACATTGGCTTTGTTGCAACTGCATATTATAATGCCCGTTGACCATCGTTTCGATTTACCCAATTTTCTTTTTTGCGGAAGATTTACCTTACTGTTTTTCTTAACTATCACTTTTTTTTTTTTTTTTAGCCAAAACGAAATCAAACGGTCTTTAATTATACAAAATAAAGGTGGTGGTGGGGGAATAGAAGAAAGAGAATAAGTTAATGATTCTTATTCCCTAAATATGACGACTCAAGTTTAAAATTAGGCGAAAAAAGTAACCTTAGTCTGGCGTAGATTTTGAATAAAACTGTACCGATTTCGAGAATGACAAGGTCCTCTTCTTCAACGATAAAAAATTGTGCAAAATGAAAAGAGCGACCATCATTTTTATATTTAAGGTGATGGGGGGAGCAAACCGAATAAGAACGTAGAACAATCTGTTGAGGAAAATAATAATAAAACGTGGAAACTAATATATTAGAATTCTGAAAGCGTAAGAAGTACTGAATAGAAGTTAATATCACTAAAAAAAGAAGATAAATGTATATGAACAGGAAAAGCTTCAAGGAATTCCATTTTATTAATTGAAGAATTATAGATTATTTATTAATTGAAAAATTTACAGATAATTTTTGCAGAACTAAATTCAAGATTGGAATTTACTGTTCAACTATGATTAGCTATAGAAGATTTGTTTATTTTTCCTTTTCGAATGTTAAGATTCGCGTTACTCGATGCGAAATTTTAACAGTCATTTAGTTTGGCAAATGTATGACAAAGCATATTGATAGGTATGTTTCTCATACATCAATAGTTTCATTCAAAATCGATTCAGTTTATTCTATCGATTAGAATTTTACTCAAAATCCACTCCAAACTAAGGTTCCTTTTCTTGCCTAATTTTAAATTTTACATCTG